AGTCTCAGCACATCTGTCCCTGCTCTCCTGCCAGTCTAACCATTTTGGCAAAAGTAATACAGCACTGTCAAGAAAAAAAGAACAGAGGAGGAGCATATAAAGTTTCTCCATTTAGTTTCAGCAGCAGCAAGTTGAAGCAGAGACAAGCACAAATAGATGGGATGTTCAGGCAGCCATGGCCATGGCTCCTGTAGTAAGGAGCTTGCTCAGTCTCAGCACATCAGCACCTTGAGGGGAATGGTGCCTGGGGAATGCACTTGAGTCCTCATTAAGCCGCCAAAAACAGGCACAGAGTCACAGGGTCTCGTTCTTGCTTAGAATGTGATTTTATTGCCTCCTTCTGTCTGTCGCTCTAGGCAACTGCCTTCGTTGCCGGCTCGTAAAACTGGGCCAGCTTGCTAGGGAGCAGCAAAGTAACACTCAGCTTTGAGTTACTACTTCACCAGATGATGTAACTCTACACAGGAATCTTTCCATTTCCACACAAAAGATGAGATGCTGGTCAATTTGCAGATGCTTAAACCTTGATTTTTGACCTGATTTTAAAACTTTGCCTTCCCAACTCCCGCAAATAGTTACTGGTTTGGAATGAAGACAATAGCAAGGTTGCACATGCAGCCCCTAGCAGAACCAGGCTCTAAATATCTGAGGAGAACTGATGGGTATTTTAGGTATATACCACAGTGCCTGTATTTTAGTGCACAGCAAAACATTTTACTTGAAAGATATAAATAAAACCCCTCAACTATTGTGACCCTGTCACGTACTTGGTACAGGTTTTCCAAAAGTGCCAGCTACAGGTATGCCTTCAAACAGAAGTACTGAGCCTGTCTCCACTGACAGCAGTGAGACTGAAATTGAACTACTACCAAGTGCTTTTGCACACCCTACAATATATATTGAAATATTAGAACACGTATGAACAAGAACGTAAATTTAGCTTGCAAATAGAATAAGTGTTTCTCATAGCTAAGTTTGCATCACAACACTACCTGTAGCATATCATTCAGGTTACTTCCCAAGCTCTTCAACATAGTAGAACTGATCTGTAATGATCATTTTCAGACAGCTTGACTCAGAAAGTTGGCTTTAACTTGCAAATCCATATCATGCTGGCTTTAAGCCAAACAACTTGGTACATTTCTTGCTGACCATGATGGATGTGAATCAGGAGTACTGAACTGTTCTTCCTACCTTCAGTATCTTACCATTTCCTGTGGGACTACTCAAGAAATAAAGCACCACTCTGTTTGAATTACAGCAGGATCAAACCACCAGGAATAACTAGACTTCATGTGTTTTACCAAGGAATTAATTCTGTAGCTCCATTTAAATGTAACTCAACTTGGAGCAAATAAGCACAGAAGGAGAACCAGAAGAATGTTATGTTGAAAGGGAAAAAACATACACCAAGTGCATATGTACAAAGATTCCCTGCTACTATGCAGATTTATTGTTCTTCACGATCAAGCCATGTTTATATGAAGTGATTGTAGAATTATAGATCTGCTTTTACTCCTGTTTGACACAAGGAGACTTCCTGCACTAACTTTAATGACAGACACTGTAGATCTGCTGCAAGTACAACAAAGTCAGGGTGAAAGTTTGGGGATCATGACTTCAGGCAATGCTCTACCATCTTCCACAGGACAAGAACTTCTGCCCAGGTGGGTTCCACATAACTAGTGTGGGGACTCAAATACAGACACTGATTTTAACAATTTAAAAACACGTTATTCAATATGAAACAGGGTCATTTTGATGTATGTTTATAACAAACACAGAAGAACCCTAGACATGATTTTTATTTCAGTTTACATAATGTTTTTTGATATTGCTTTATTTTTTTTGAATTAACAAAATAATTATTTTTAATTTGAGAAAAGCTGCTAACTAATCTCCCAGCTGAGTTCACCCGGAATGCTTTCAATGCTGATAAAGTCACAGGTACAGCAATAAATTAGTTTCTCTGTAGTCATCTCTTTATCCTCTCCATTTCAGCCTCACTGTACTTAATTCGCAGCATTTTATATTCACAGGTGCTAAAGCTTAGGACATTGAGCCCCAAACACAAACAGATTGAAGCTGGGCAGCAGAAGAGATTACCACTCTGAGGCATCTGTCCATTTCAGCTTTCACAGAGGTGGCAGCTACCGTGACAGGAAGCTGAGTCATGCATAAAGGCAATCCAGTGTACAGATCAAAATAGTAATATGGATCAGCACAGGTTCTGAGCTGCACAGAGGCAGCCTGCAAGCTGCACGGACTACCTGCTTCGTATGCAACACAGCTATGCCTGCCACCAGCACAGCATCAGCCACGCAACAGGGTGAACAGCTGGAAGGGATACGCCTGCTCCCATTTCATTCAGCCTGGGTTCATGAAACAACATGTTCAGTTAAAGGCTGATGTTGTTGTCAATGCTGTCAAAGACGAAATTTCAAAAGAATTCAAATTATGCAAATTCAAGTTTTCAACTTAGTAAAGATAACTGCCAAAAAAAGTCTTAAAAAACCACTGCATTATGGCTGGCATGGTAAATGATCAATGAGCCTCATCTTCCAAAGAAGCTGTCTGAGAAAATGATGATAACACTAAGGCAGCAGCAATATGAAGTGATAGTCTCTGTATCCTTACCAGGAGCTGTTTCCACAAGCAAATTCCTACCTAAGAACTGCCTAGTAGTTTATGTAGGAGAAGCAATGGAGATGGCCCAGCTGAGAGTTAGTCTCAGCAAAGTACGTAAGACGTAACTCAGCTCACACTATAAATCATTTCCTTTGTGCACTCATTAACTGTCAGCAGCCTCAAGGAGCTGCTTTTCATCTCTGTATTAGAGAAATTACCTGTTCATGACACCAGCAAAAGGTACGCCTAAGCGTATTGGCTACACAAAGGCTAAGGGAAATGCAGATAAGACCAACAGTCTTGTAGGCAGTGACATATATGAAGCCTCTTCCTAGGGAATTGCATCTCATGACTGTCAGATTTTTAAACCGAATTATAGCAAAGCTTCAGGCTTGTCTTAAACAGAGCATCAGAGAACACAGAGAGAAGATAAATATGCATGTCTACCATGACAGGCTTCAAGTGAGATTAGCTTCTTATTGGACACTGCTGAATCCTACAGGAATACATTTGGATTAGAAGTGGGATTTTTCCAGTTCCTGGACATTCAGTTCCCAACAGTCCCACAACCCTTCTGCCCAATGCTGACATTTCAATATTAATGGTTGAAATATATCTTGCTTTTTTTTTTTTTTTTTCACATAAGTACATTCTCCCCTGCCCAGCTATGTTCACAAAATTTAGAGGAATGTTTTTTCTTTGAGAACTAATATCTCAAAATATACCTCTCTGTTTCATTTGTTTGCAATCAGCCCAAAATTTATGGAACAAAGCAACAGCAAGCAAACGGCACCAAATTAACTCCTTTACTCACATGCAAATGCATACGGGATGCAATTCTACATAAGCCATATTTCTTTAAGAAATCAGGATTTTTTTAAAACAAATCTGCTCATCAGTACTTAAGGAACCCATCTGGCTGTCACCTTCGTTTCTGAAGCAGAGCTGAGCAGTTTGCTTTCGCCTACTTTAGTAGCATTGCCCCTGCGAAAGCCAGCTCGGGCTCCCCTACTGCTGCCACAGCGGGCAACTCGTCCGGCTGGGACCACGGCAGCGCAGGGGTAACGCAACCGAGTGCAGGTCTGAAATACTACGTTTAAAAACACACTAAGACTGTTTCGTGTACATTGTACATACTGTGTTATATATCTGGAAACAGACAAATCAGCTTTGTATCAGTTACAGCACATGAAATGTATAAATACCACCCGCGTTAAAGACTTTTGTCACCAGCCTTTGAAACACGGACAAACACCTGCAGAGTGTTTGACAAATCCCTCCATCCTCCCCCCTAGAAAGGATTCCCACGGCCAACAGACTCACCAGGCTGTCTGCAGCCCCGTGCCCACCCCTCCCCAGCCCCTCCTCTCCGCCCTGCTGCCTTGTCCCTGCCTGCCCGCCCCTCCCGGGGAGGTTTCTAAACTCCGCGGCTCGCCCAAGGCCCGCTGGGGCTGGGGCCGCCGCTCCGCTCCGTTCCGCACAGCCCCGCGCCGCCGCCCTCCGGCAGGGACCGGCCCGCCGCCCCCGCCCGCCCCCGCGCTCGGCGGAGCCGCGGCCCGACCCCGCCGCCCTCCTGAATATTTCATCGGCGCTGCCCAACGGGATGCCCCGCCACTGACTGCTGCAAAGGGACCGCATCCCGCCAGCGGCGCGTCTCGCTGCTTCCTGTCTCTTTCATTCTTCAAACCGCAGCTTTTCATTTATTCCGATAAATAAATAACTGATTAAAAACAAAGGAAAGAAAAAAGCAGCAAGAGCATCTCTCCTTTGTATCTGAGCAGGTGGGACTCCTGTGCAGGAGATTACGGAACACAAGAAGGACTCTGAACTCTTCCGAGTCTAAAGGATGAGCCGGCAGCAGTTTTCCTATAAAAATCCGATCCCGGGGCTGTGACACACTCGAAGGAGCGAAGGCGCCGTCACCTCACCGGAGGCGTCCCCGCTTTGGACACCGCAAGCCCTCGCTGGCGGAGGGGGAACCAGAGCGACTCGCCGGCCAGACCGCGCTCCCGGCGCGCAGCCTCCCGCCGCTCTCCGTGGCGGCCGTGGCCGGCCGGGCGGCGCTGGCGCCGCGGGGCCGCCGCCGCGCCCGGCTCCGCTCCGCCGCAAACTTTTCTGCCCGCGCCCTCCTCGCCGCCGGCCGCCGCAAGGGAGCGGCGCGGGGGCGGTCGGCGCATCGTCTCCTCGCTCCCCCCGCGCTCCGGCGCCGGGCGGCGGCCACAGCCCCAGCCGCACCGCCTCCGCGGAGGCAGGCGGCAGCCCCGGGCAGCCCGAGGGTCCGTATGGCCGCTGCCCTTCAGCCGGTGGCGAGAGCTGCTGGCGCCGCCGCGGCGCTCCAGGGGCTGCTCTGAGCCGGCGGCTCGCCCTGCGGGATGTGGCCGGCCGGGGCGGGCGGCAGGCTGCCCTGCCCGCGGGACGCGGCGCTGCGGCGGGCGGCGTTCTCCGGCAACCTCTCTGCGCTGCCGTCCCACCTGGTGCCGAGCGGCAGGAGCGTCCGCGTCTTCATCAGCGCCAACCCCGAAGGTAACCGCGGCTGCCGCGCCCGCCCCGCAGCTCCCCCTGCCGCCCGCAGCGCCCGCGCCGCTGCCCGGGCCCGCTCCGCCGTCGCTGCTCCCGGGCACCCCCGCTCAAGGGCCGGGACCGGCTCCTGGCCCTCCCCGCAGCGGATGGCCGGGACCCCTCCGGCCGGGCGCGGCGGGGGCGCCAGGCCGGGCCCGGGCGGTGTGGGGAGCGGTGCGAGGCGGCAGCGGGGTTGTGGGGCGGGCTTTGCCGGGTTCGGAGCGGGGTTCGGAGGCGCCGGTGTACGTCTCTTCCTAAGTTTTATGTCTGTAAATGACGCGCCTGAAAGGCACCGGGGCGCGGGGCATCCTCTTATTTTTGCGCTGTCGGAGCTGCAGGGCACACGCGGATCTGGAGTCACGGAAACGGGCTGCTTTCTAGCGAAGGGGAGGGAGGCTTTTCAGGGGGGATGTTTTGAAGAGCTCTCCTGGGGGGTCTGGTTAATAAGAGTTTCCGGTAGATTTCTTAGTACAATGAACCCAGGTCTTAGCCGGCTGAGGCTACAGCTAAGGTGATCCGGGACCTGCTGAGGCTACCGCTAAGGTGATCCTTTGATCCCGGCTGTACTCTGCTTCCAAGGAAGCACGCCTTGAAACCTGCAGTTTTAGCTTAATAAAGTCGGGGTCGTATACCCAGTACCTGAATTAATTAGGCATCCTGCTGTTTAAAGCCTATTTTTAAAATTACCCTTTGATTCGAGGAATTTGCATACATTCAGGAGGAGTCATTCCCACATGTGAGATAGGAGTTGCTGAAGCATATTCCCACTTGAAGCACGGAAATAATAAATTAAGCATTCACACTTGTGACGTTACTTGTCTGTAAAAAAATGAGCCCACTGTATTCACAATTATCTTTCACACCACCACCCACCACCTTCCCCCCAACACTTCTAATTCAACAATACTGTCACCTTTTATGCAAACATCAGAGATTTGAAAATCATGCCTGAAACGACAAAATAGTTTGAACTTTGAAGTGAAAATTGTCTTGGCACAAGTACTTACAGGAGTATGAGAAATAGTGCTCACAACCAAAAAAAACTGGGCATAGTGCTGCTTTGAAGAACTCCCACACTTCCAGCACTTCTTACTTGCTTTCAACGCAAGGAAACTCTCTGGTCTCATATTCAACATCCCTGTTTGTTTAAAAAGATGACCTTCTTTAAGGAGGGCATGAAAATGTTTGCAGTTTATTGCTGGAATCCAAGCAAAGAGATATAAAAATAGTGATAATTGCAAAAAAATCTATTTGGCTCTGAAAGAAAATTACTGTGGATTTTTAGAAAAACTGAAACTCTGAAAGAAAATTACTGTGGATCATTAAAAATGGATTTCTGCCAGCATTGCCTTAACTGGGAAGCTGCTGATGCCTCTGCATTTGATGTGAATGGCATTTAGGGTAGCTTGGTATGTTAGCTAGTTATTTGCTAAAATAGAAAATGCACTTAACTCATTCTGAAAGTTGAGATATAAAGCCATATATATCCATTTCCAGGATTTTATCCTGGAATTGTAATTTGAAAATATCAGCTTTAAAAAAATCCCAACACTGAAAGAAAACAATTCAAACATTTTAGCATTGTTTATGTTATCTTTCTTGTAGTCTCACGTGGTCACAATGATTAACACTCCTCATGTCAAATATTTTACCTGTGACATTGCTCCTGCTTTTAAAAATTATTTTAAAATTTAAAAATTTCAGGGTGGCTACAGGTTTTGTTTATGAACATTTAAGGACTCTTGGTGACAAGAAACAACCATTAGTAGTTATTGGTGATAACTGTTGTTGAAATATTACTGACTAAATGTGACTTTTAAAAAAGGAAACATGGATAAACAAGAAATTATCCTGTAATGGGGTTTAGACATTTTCTAGTAAAGTACTTTGAGATAGAACTGTTGTTGGTAAAACTCTTGAAAAAGTTCACCGTGCAGAAATTCTGGATGAAAAGGTTAAAGTATTCCCACTCAGTAAACCTTTTAACACATTCAACTACAATTGATATTTGCATGACTAGGGCCTCTCTTGTTAATTTTCAGCCTATCACTACAGTTTATACAGTTTTTACCCATTCTTCTTGATTCAGAGCATTCCTGAAAAGGGCAGTGAGCCCCCAGACTCACAGAGGTAGACTTGAACTGTGGTGTCAGAGAAGCATATGGATTAATCCTGCTAGCAGTTACAAGAAAAATTTATCTACCACTGAAAGTGTACAAACCTAAAAGAAGTTTTCTTGAATTATATTTAGGAAGTGTGTAGGGGAGAACTCTGGTAATCAGTGTTTGGTCTGTTCTTTATAAACATACTTTAGTATGACTGAAATACATTATGTTTTTATTATGCAACTAGGAAAGTGATTATTTGAAAAATTTCTTAACTAGAAGTCCCTAAAAAGAACAACTGGAGACAGTGAGCATGGGTAGTAGGAGCGAGATTGCTTCATTTTGCAATTTTGTTTTCTAGAGGAAATTTTGTAGATAAATGAAACTGTATTTGCCCCTAGTAGTTAGCAGCATTGTCTTGCTCAAGTTGTTGATATCAATTAATCCATCTTCACATCACTGCAAATGACTGGATCTTTAGAAACATGGAAGTTGTTCTATTAGTTGTTCTATTTGAATACAGATAAATCTGTTTTCACATTTCAGTAGATATAAGCAATCAGCAATATTTGAATATGCATTTAAATAGGCATTTTGGCTAAGAGAGGTTGAAGATTTTTATTGGTTTTGGTTTTCTCAAGATATTTTCATTATTTCAAAGTGATAAGTAAGTAATTTTTGCCTGATTGTAATGAGTGCTTACTGTTCCATGTAGCAATCTGTGCACTGTTAAGAGCAAGTCAGTTAATGACAGTTTCTCTGCTACTCAGTAGTGCCTGTGTAGACGCCTGCCATGAACATACAGTTCATGTGAAAAACAACAGGCATAAACTCCCATATGGTTCCATTACATGGAACTGTGGTATCAGCCCTATATGGGTTCAGAGCAGTCCAATGATTCTTGTCACTACTCCAAACAGAAAATCATTTGTGTTGCACAGTTGGCTGTTTCGACAAGCTGCGTGGTGGTGTAAGGAAATACTATGAGCTCTCATTGAAACTGGTTCCTAAAATGGAGTTAGGAATTTGTCTTGAGAATAAAATCCAGTGAATTGAAACAAGCAGTCAAAACTCTGAACATTTTAAATGCTATTGGCTCTTCTGAAAGTGAGGAAATCAGTCCTTTGCTAGTTTGACTTAAAGTCATGTTATTGTTTCAATTAGTTAAGACATGGATAATTTTTTTACTCTGAGCTCTTGGAGTTCATGTGGTGAAGATGCCTCAGTAACCAGTAGAAACAAATGAATGCTCTGACAAGGGATGTGTATAAAGCCAAATCCTACACACAGGTGGTTCCACTGCAGACAGGATGATAATACCTTTATATAGAACCTGAGTGTGTCCTGACACAGGTGGTGTTAGCCAGCCGGATCTCAAAATGTAAACAGGGTTGCATCTAGCACTTCACACGGCAAGGATGATCCTTTCCCAGCCACTCTTTCAGCTCTATACTTCACTCTCCTTTGAGCAGCACCCTTGCATACTTCCTGAGTTCCAGCTCTGCATTGCTGGACGGTTAATAGTTTTTAGCCATTTTTAGCCTATCAATGCCCTCTGTTGTACAAACAAATAACTTTGATGAGATCATGAACAAGCTTTGTTTTGACAGCCCTTTTTAATCCTCATGGTTTCTGTGTCTCCAGTAGCCATTTTTTAAAACCATTAAACCAACTACTAGTTTTGACATGATTAACAATCTTAAGTATGAAATCCTATGTATACATGCAGAAATATAAAATTAAGATCTTATTCTATTAAAAGACACTACTGATATTACCACCACGGTAATGATTCCATTGTACAAGCACAGTATAAAACCAACCTGTACAACTGGAACTTCACCAGCTTCCCCATGATTTGCCAGAGTGAGGTTTCCTTGTCTTATGCTATTGAATGACTTTGAGTTTTCTTGATTTACTATTCAGTTTTTCACCTTAGTTCATTTCCATTGACATGCATCATCCAGAACATTGTATCAATTTGAAAAACACTCAGTTTTAGTGAAGTGTTCAATGCCATATTTACTTATATTCTTGTGGTACGTAAAGCAAAATTGCCACCAGCCGTTAGTTTTGTTAACTAGAGAAGAAATAAATAATGACTGGAGAAACAGGTCTTACTACTGTTTTCATTTGGACCTGCTGTTATAGGCTGCTTTGTAGGAATTACATGTGTTTTTATCTGTTTATGTACATGGGAAAGAAAAAAAAGTCATGTGAATTTGTAGTTTAGAACATGATGGCAGATAAAGCAGATGAAGAATAATGATTGCTTTATTTACAAAGTTATTGCCATATGATAAGAGAAAGGCATAATCTGACATTCTTATCATGCTCAAGGTCTGTTATATTATTTTTACCTGAAATATTGTTTTCCTTAAGGAAAATATAGTTGAGGAAATGTTAAAGTGGAAAGATATTCAAAAGCCAGAATAATGCTTGGTTAATGATGGTCCGTTGTGACCGGTCCCAAAATACCATATGGTGTCCCTACTTGGATACGTTACATGAAGATCTTTTTATGAAGACAATTTTATATAATCTGAGTGGAATTTATTCCTTAGCTAAAGAAAACCACAGATGTTCAAGTGTATGAAATTGCAAAGGAGGTGTTGCGGAGATGTGGAGACAAATAACTCAGGACTTTTTTTTGTGCTAAGTGTTAGTTCTGGTTACCTAATTTTGTACCTATTTATGGTTTTGTGTGACGCACATCACTGTAGTGTTTAAGAGTCAAAAACCAAGCTACCTCTTCGGGGGTGGGGGGGAAGGAGTTCAGTAGTTTTAAAGTATCTCGGAGTCTGGGGGAGAAAAATCATTAAAGTACCTAGGTTTGGTGTAAACCTTGACTTGAAATAC